TAGGACCACAGAAACTTCAAAAATGACAAATAACTCGAATCTCACCCCCATCCTCAAAAAAAAAAAAAAAAAAAAAAAGAAGAAAAACTTAATGATACTTCTCTAAAAAGAGTCGAACCTTTTTATGAGACCTGTTGCCAATATTAGTGCCACCGAATGATCTCATCTTTCATTCTGGCTAAATTCCAACACACAATTTCATTAACCCAGGTACTGCAGGTGATAAAACTCATTTTTCCCTAAAGAGACAGCTAAAAAGTACCAGTTATACATTTATGAAGTACCAGCAATCAAAATTATGGATTTTCTAAAAGGTTTTTAACTACTTTTATTGAAAGGAAAATCGCTGTCTCAGACTTTTGTGACACTATTGCTAATAATAAATTTTACCATTTAGACACCGCAGTAATACGGCAGACAGTGTCAATAAAAGTATGAAACAAAAGATGATCCTTGTCTCTTAAGTAACGCTCGCTGATTACACACCGGAAATTATAACGTGAAACATAAACTAAGGAGCACCTTAAGATATAAAATGCAATAATGCAAGACAATGTGCCTGGCTACGGATCCAGGAACCTTCCGTGGAGCAGGAAGGCGGGAGAGAGATTTTCTGGAAGAAGCCGAAGGGGAGAAGGAGGGAGGGGAAAAAAATATTTATACAGGCGTGTAAAACTAAAAACGAGACGATGGATTTTGGAGTTGGCTCCGGTGGTTCCTGGGCTGGGGAGAGGAGGGAAGTGGGGCTCTTTTGGGATGAGGGATGCTCTCCCCGGGTCCCCGGCGGCATCCCGGGAGCACTAGAGGGCACTGTGGGATTTGGGCCGCCCCGCACCGGTACCCAACGCCCCGGAGGTTCATCCCGAGGGTGGGTGGTTGGGAAAGAAACCCTAACGTCGACGTTGGAACGGTTCATTCCAAATACGTGACAAAAAAATAAATCATACGATTGATTTGTATCTGCCCCGAGAGCCAAGGAGGGACCCCCCACCCTTAAAGAGGGATGGGTGTCCCGGCTGCCGGAGGAGCATCCCCGCGCCGGGCGGCTGCATCCTCGCCAACGATGCTTGTGAGCTGGGGGGTTTTAATTGGGGCTGCCAGGAATTAAAAAAAATAAAATTAAATAAAAAAACAACAACAAAAAACCCTAAAAAAAGACATCTGTAAGACTAGTCTTTCCTCTGCCCTCGCTACCTATTTGATTAAAAAGCCTGTTGTGCTAACTGCAGATGATTTCACTGCAGAACATTTTGACATGCAAATGATAGCAATTAATGCCCTTTGAAACAATTTATGATTTCCGGCCTACTTCAACATGTATTAGCATATACCTGGTTTCTTTAATATACACTTTGTTTTTCCAAAACCACAAACATAGTTGCTGGAATTTCATGTGGAAGTGCTTAAGGGGTTGAAAGTTAACACCTTTGTGAGCCGAGCAGTCTCACAGTTGCTGCAAAACAAAAGCCTCTTTGTAGAAGCCTTCTCGAAATGTTTTCTTAACATGTTCCAAGTAGTTTTAGGCAGGCAACTAAAGTAAACAAGATGTTACCATGATAAAAACACTTGTGAAAACATTACAGAGTGCACTTAGTAGTTTCTTTCACATAAACTCCCCTTCGTTTCATCAAAGTTAAATGCACATGAAGCAGATTACTAGCATCACTGCAATAGAGGATTGCAAGATCTCTCCAAAGGTCTGTCCCCCTCTTTTAAAGGAGATATTTAATTTTAAAATGGTACAGCCATGATTAAGCACATCTAAATCATAATTTTTCATTTTTTTTTTTAAAAAAAAGAGGGAGGGGAAGGGATAAAACCATACTCTATCTTCTCTTTGGTTTTCTGCCCTGGACGCCTCGACACCTTGCTGAATAAACCACCCTCCCTCCGGCAGGGATTTCCTGAACAACTTGCCATATGAGAGGTGTGTATATATATATATAATTTTTTTTTCTATCTGCAACAGCCTCTAAACACATGCAAATGAAATCAAGGAGGTAGTCAATCCTGAAGGGAAGTCACTCTGTGCCACTGATTGCTCCTTTGGTTGCTGCCTGTGAGATGGGCCCTGGTTAAGACGTGAGACACAAGAGGAGCCTCCAGCCCTCACCTCCTGTCCCCCAGCTCGGCAGGAGCCACTGGGTCAGTGTGGTGACACCAGAACTGGGTTTGGTTTTGGGCTGGGGGAGTTTTCTGGAGAGGACAGGGCACCACTTGTTTCATTTGGCTGAGCTGCAGCCCCCGTTGCTACCAGGTAGCTCTAACTGATACCGCATCACACGGTAACTAATGGATGGATGGAAATAAAAAAAAAGCCCAACAATGCTAAAACTGCAACTTATTTCAAAAAGAAATAGGGAAATAGATGTGTACAATAGCCCGTGTATCTGCTGGTTCTGATAAGCATCCTCCTGTTGGCTGTGAGTGAAAGACAACTAGGATCGTTATTTGTACAGTATTTATCTTTGAAATCAAGGGCTCTGTGGTGTACCTCACCTTGGGAACAAACACTACAGAACGATCACAGAAGAGTGTCAAATCTCTGGTTTTGATTTACCAACAGTTATGATATTTCTTCCTCAGGAGGAAAAGAAATGAACCATGTTTTAGACCTGCGAGTCCTTTTTTCTCCCTTAACTGCAGAATCATTTTATTGGCATACAGGGCTTTCATTCCACATGTAACTTCTCTTTGCTTTTTTCTAACAGGCCTTTTTTACCAAGGTAAGTGAAATTAAGCAATGCTCTATTGATACACAGGCTGTATTTCACTTGGTAAACAAGAGCTTTTCTCTTGAGGGGACTGTTCGAAAAGAGCTTCACGGATTATACAAGTACCAGAAAGAAACTTCAAGCATCTACCTGTTATCTTTTCCTTGAGTAACGAATTCTGATAAAGGACAACACAATTTAAGGATGGATGCTCCACAGGAGACGTGGAAGGCTACGGTATCATTTCATGAAGCAATGCTCACTTCCTAACAGCGTCAACGCGCTGCTCGGGGACATTCATTTCTACATTCGTTCTGGGTTAAGTATCGCTCCAAACAATAAGACTTTGTCTGGACACTGTAGAATTTGGATAATGAGAAAATTTACACAAGCCAATGGGTTTAAGAAAGTCACACAAAATATTTCTGTTGAAAGGTTTCAATGGGGAAAAAAAAAAAAAAAAAGACTGTTGATAAATGAGTGATAAAGAACCAGAATTGTTGGAGCTGGGAGTAGATGGAGCTGCTTTGGGTCCAGCCTGGGCTGGTTTTATCCCTACCTACTGATTGCCCCAAGTATCTCCTCCAGGTGAACTGGTGGACTTGGTCTACATACTGAAACATCTTCAAAATACCATATAAAAACCAACCTACTGCTCTGTAGGAAATCTTCCTGAAACCAACAGATCTAATCTGGAAAAGGGGACCAGCACAAGAATCAAAGGTGGCATAATCTGACTTTATGTGACTACACACATTATTCCGATATCTAAGGCTACCACTGCACCCTTGCCTTGCATTAAGAGCAATAAAAATCAGAATTGTTTTAAAGGTCTAAATGCTATAGTATGGCATATGAATATGAATGAGCTGGCAAGTATGGTGAGATTAGCATTTATTTCACTTAAGTGAACAACAGAATGAATTAAAAGAAACGAGGACACCCTTCATGGAAATTTATGACTAGCACCTTCTTATTTTGTAATCCTCTTGTAATGAGAACCTTCTCATTACCGCACCATCCTGACTTGTAACACATGTTTATACCAGGACCAGTGCGGCTCCTGCTGAGTACAGGAGGGTTGTGCCAGTGGCAGCAGAACTGGTCCACTCTGTTCTGAGAGCAAAACCTTATCTGTATCATCTAACATCATCCACCAAACATCCTCTGCCTGCTCTCACTCTCCCTTCCCTCCCTCGGCTAGAAATCCAGGGAACTGCCCCAAAAGAACATACACAGCTTCTACTTATTGACGAACCTCATTTATGTAGACTAATTTAATGAGATCACCACTGTAAATGAGGGCAGAATTTGTCCCTTTGTGCATTTAAACCCTACTCACTGCTTGAGCAGTAGCTCTTCTGTGATCTTACAACCAAACAGCCATGGTCCTAGAGAGAAGATCAGTGCCCAAGAACCTGGATGCACCCAAAGCACACGTGTACCTGGTGACCTCCCCAGACAGAAAACTCTTTTGTGATGGGGTCACTTCTTTGCTCCAGCAGCTTGGAGGGGTGAGGCTGATGGTCTGGCTGTGGAGCAGCCATGTGTGAGTTATTAGGGCCCTGCTGGTCCTTCCCCGCATCGGGATGCACCATTACCACATACTAGTCCATAATGCACTGTTTATGCAACGCGTAAAACTGTGTTCTTTGGCAGCAAGGAAAGGTCTGCAGCAAACTGCAGGGGCCCAATTAATATAATTATAGTTTATTTTTAGTAGTGTAGACTTTGTTCATTAGTTACTTATTTGACATAAATTAAATTTCACGTGATGTTCTGCAATTCTCTGTTCAATTATGGAGTTAATTTAAGACTAAATTTCTAAATTAAAGTGAAATCAAGGTTAAACCAAAGTTGTATTGTTTACATTATCAATACTGCAACTTAAAAAAACACTTAAATAAATAATAATTTAAAAAAAAAAAAAGGCTGCGGAACTGCAAACACTCTATTTTATAGTAACACACTGAGCAAGACCATACTTTCCCCATGGGGCTAATTTACTATCCCCTGTTAAAACGTTCTTGAGCCTGATCCAAAAGCCACTGAAGTGAAAGGGAGCTCTCTGTTGACTTCAATGGGCTTTGCATCAGGCCCACGGTGAGTGACAGCACACAAAAATTTCCGGGCATGCTTTACTGTGCAAAAGGCGAGTAAAACCCATCAACCCATCCTTACTTTAGAAAGGACTGGAAGTCTTCACAGACGGCTTCGCAGCCCGGCCACTTGCATACACCGTGTCCGTAGAGCGGATGGCTGTGTGAGTGCTCCTCGTGGGATAAACTGGAGGAGAGAAAGAGAAAAGAGAGAAAAAAAAAAATAAATTAATTTTCACAAAGGCTCTTAAGAGCGGCAAACAACAGATCCTGAAACATCTCACCTGACTCTGCCCATGGTTTTTCAAAACAGAATTAAATACCGTTTGCAGCGCGAAACATGTGTCATTCTTACTTAGCTATCCTCCTACATTTCATTCATTAATTAAAAGCTTTGTAAAGAATTTAAATTAACATTGGACGGGGGAGAAATCATTTGACAGACCTGCTTAATATCCCGCTTGATATTTTGCTAAGAAATTTATGAACATTGCATATTTACAATTCAACTTCATCAGGAAGAAAAGCCATCTCCATACAGCAGTGCATTCTTGTAGCACAATACAAGTGGACTCGAGGCTCTGCTCATCGCTAGAGAGAGAGGAAAAGCACTGAGGTTGCAGCCTTGCCTTTCCCACCGTGTTATTTATTTACTGGGTTGGGGTTTTTTTATTTGTTTTTCCCTTTTTTTAACTCTTAGAAGCTGCTTCTTTGCACAAGTCCAGTCCCCTTATGTCCCAGCAAAGAAAATTCAAGATGTATTTTCAAATGCAAAATTCATCACAAAAAAAAAAAAAAAAAAAAAAAGGGAACCATGTAATCAAAGGATTCCTCAGCACGAGGGGTTAGCGGGGGCTATTAACCTTGCTCAGATTTGGCAGGAACGTCACAGAGCTTCCTAACTACTGAAACCAGGGTTAAAGGAAAAAAAACACTGGTATGAGCACGAAGGGGTTAATCCTTCAGCGGGATTCCAATCAATACGTAATGATTTGGCTGCACTGATCCAAGTCATGAGACGCTTTGATCCAGGCCATGTGGTGCTCAGGGAAATGTATCTGTTGCACTAACTGATGAACCATATTCTAAAATATCTTCTTTATTCAACTTCTGCATGGAAACTTTCTAAGTAAAGGAATTATTTTTGCAACGATTTCCATAACCTTAGATGACTTTAAAAATAAAATGTCAAAATAATATTGAAATCTCTATTTTATGCTCACGCACATATCTATTTTTCATAGCAAATCATTTTGGTAGGGTATGCCTGTGCTGTATTATGAACTTCAAACATACACAAAGGATATGAACACATACCAGCATCTAGGTGTGGCTTTTAGGACTTATTTTATCCCGGATTACAGGTAACATTATGGATAAACGCCTACTTTTTTGCCATTTTCCTTTTATACACATGTGGAAATGGTGCTTATTCTTGTTCCGTAATATTATCTGCCCAAGGCCTATAACAAAATTGTGTTCTTGTGTTATTTCTGACGCACTGGATAGGCAAGATCACCGTAGAACAAACCCCTGAGAGGTTATCCCAAATGCAAAGAAGTTGCAAGAGAAATTCTTGCCGAGATTCTGCCACTTTTGACTTGACCAAGGAAAATCTGAAGATGATTTAAAGTCGGTTTTCTTAAAAATGATTTTTTATTTTGTTTTAAGGTTCAAAATAGGTGCAGATCCGACTAGAAAAGGTATTACGAGTTGTACAGGAATCTAATCTATTATTTCATTAAAATCTTATTTTTGGCTGTTTACAACTAGTTCTTCAAGCATAAATATATATTTGTGCAATGTAATTTCCTAAAAAGCCTCACTGAAGGTGAAGAGACCTACAAAGGCTTTTTCTATATGGGAATATTACACTGGTTTAGTGTAATCTGGTTTTTTTTTTTTTGAAATGTGTGAGTGGGGAGAAGCTCTATCGGTCAAGTTTTTAAAAGAACAAAGGGATCGATGCGTTTCTTGCAAGGAAATTAGAAAAATGCTACACCACACGTTTCCTCAGCTGAGGGAGAGGGGGCTGGCTGAAGGAACACCGTCCCCCCCCAAGCCAGACACGCATCTGGCCCTCCACACACATCACAAGAGAATAATTCAGAAAAGAACGGGTTTTATCATCTGCTTCCATACCTGAATACAGCAAAGGGTGAGAAAGTAGGCTTTCATGTTAACACTCCATTAAAATCCACGAAGACCATGCAAGAGAGTTACGATTTCAGCGTGTTTGACAGACACCCCCCAACCCCTCCCCCCCCAAAATCTCAATGTATTAATTTACCCGGCGCGCGTTACCCGTAGACCAGGATGACTGCAGAAACGCTGTGTGACGCCAAGTAAGGAGTCAGTCCCCTGTGGGTTTTAAGCACTGTAAATCTCATTATAATATCAACAGGAGTCACATGGCTTAAACCCCCAGCAGGGTTTTTTAAAGTTTCTCTGTGAGAGCCTAAAGGCCATGGCCAAGTCAACGGAAAGAGCCCTACCGAGATTTGTATTTATTTTTTAAATCCAAGTGCAAATCTCTTTTCTTTCCAGGGAACTTGCACAAGACAAGACAAACTATGTAGGACATGATACCCTGGTATTGTGTCCAAAGAAAATGAGGGGATGACCAAGAGAGTCTCAAACTGTAAACGATGCTGGGGATGTCAAAGTCTAGTGCCGTCAAGCACCAGAGAGATCGGTGTTGACGGCAAACGGCAACTTAAAAGGTCACTTTGCTAACGCGACGCTCAGCGTAACGTTCTTAACACCTACATACAGCTTCCACTGCCATTCCACAAAGCAGAGAAACTACTTCAACTTACCAAAAATAGACACTTCAAAATGAAAAAAAAAACCCCAAAAACTCACAGTATTGAAAGGCAAATACTGGCACCCTCCCTAGGCAGCTTCTCCCATCCCGCTCGGGGGGGGTTTCAGCGGTGCCTTTGGGTGACCTTTACGTGTCAGTATCAGATTACTGCTATTTTATCCATCCCACTTTTGAAGATATTATAGATTGCCACTTGTTCCCTGATAGAGCCTTGAGGAGCACCTCAAAACAAAACAAAGAGCGGGTTTATGGAGAAGCGGATGTAACGCACAAAGGCGACAGCCAGTGGCAATGAATGGGGAACTCTGTTTAACTGATCTAAGTGCTCACTTTGTTTGAGCAAATAGAGGTGGAAAATGAAGATTTTAATCCAATACATAAACAAACAGCTTTGCGGGCACAGCGCAAGCCTATAATCTTAAATTGTTCAATCCTATTTTTGTCTGCGCGCAAGCACAGTTTCTGTAATCTGGAGGCATCCTCGGTCTCGCTGCCGGAGACAGACTTTTAGAAGATCTGAGCATTGGCAAGCAGAAGCACGTTTTAGGTCTGTTTGATTTCTAATGACACATTAGAGTAGGTGTTTGTTTCTGTCACCCTCTCCTTCCCAGGAACGCATATTCGTGGTTGGGTACTGGTGATGCAACACTAGTTAGTGGAAGCAATTTTATAACAAGACATGATTTTTCAAAGAAGTGAAAGAACAGATGATGTAAAAATCAAGATTATGTGGGGTTTTTTTCTCCTGGTAAGGTATTTGCATACAGAATACTTAACACAATAGAATTATTTCCTAATAATGCAATAGTGCAGCGTTATTACATCGAAGTACAGCAAATAACCCTCACGTCTTGTGTAAGTCAACGTATTTGTGACATACGACAGAACAATGAAATCCATGGGGGAAGCTGAAAACCTCAGAAGTATCCATTTATTTTCTGCTGCCTCCAGCCTGGGTTCCAGTAAGGAGGGGAAGGGAGAAGCACTTTCACAGCTCCTCTGGGTTTGATGGACAGAGGAGAGGTGTTTTTCACCTCTGCCGCCTTCAACCTACGCTGCTTCGTAACCCCAAGGATCTCCAGAGGGTCTGGAAGCGAATTCACCACCTTCTCCAACAGGGACGGCTGCCAAAGATGGTCCTTTCGTAGCCCCAGGTGCCCAGAGACCACTTCAGCCCCTAAACTTTTGGAACACATCAGCTGTGCTGCAGCATCACTGAAGAACCACGCTCCAGGACACAAAAGCATGGGAGATAGAGAAGCCACAGACAGCTAAACCCCCACAGAAAGTGAAAATGACAGTAAATCCCAAAGAGAGATGGGAACACACTGGGAATCGGGGAAAGTAGTGACTAAAGCACCCAGCAGTAAAGCCACCTGGGCTGTATGCTTTAATACAACCCTTCCTTACTGGGTGAAACTGGTTACCATGCTCATACACACCAGCAAAAAAGCCATGGGTGGATTAAAAACCAGCCAAGCAGAAGCCTCAGTAACAGTTCTTCTGCCACACAGTGGACCATATTTTAAATATTCAAGATGCTGACATTCTGCATATTCCACTCTCTCCCACATCTGCCTGGGCCAACGATCTTTGCCAAAATACTAAGGGAAGTCAGCGATGTAGGGAAGCATCCTTGATTTTTTTTAATTTTTTTTTTTCTATTACAGTTATGAAGCATCTGCTCACGTTCTAACGGTGCGGAGAACATGCCTGAGCCACCTGCACGCTGAAAAAATCAATACCACATCTCCCGCTTTCCTCTTGGAAGGGGTTTGAGCAGAGCACCCACAGAAATTACTTTTTTTTTTAAAAAAAAAAATATATATTTCTCAGGGGCAACGGGAAATGACCTCATCTCTGCCAGCTGCCATGAAACCCATGTCGGTTTATGGTCCGGGCAGGAGCACGGGGCTCAGGCTCACACCACACACACCCTTGGGCTGATGCAGATGGCACAGCCCTCGAGGCAAAATGCCACGATTTTGGTCCTGTACAGGAGGAAGAGAGACACAACCGGGAACCAAGACGAGTCTCCAGTGTTTGTTTTAGAGCCCAGTGAGCTCTAAAGCTCATCAAAAGGCGCTGACAGAATAAAGTTGGTGAAAATGTCACCATTCTCTGAGTCAGAAACGCCTGCTGTATTTGATTTAAAATCAAAACGGAAGCAGTAGTGATTAAATCCTCGTACCAACCATACTCAAATGCGAGTTCCTGCCTTCATGACAATATCATTTGAACGGATGTGATTTGCAGTGAAGTTGCACTTGCTGCAAATCCCTCTGAATTCTTACTAAGGTGGCTTAGCACCCCTTTCCTCTCTAAACTGGGAATTTAAAACCCCAAGTAATTAAAAAAAA